CACCCAGGCTTAAGACTAAGGTAGGTTGACTAAGGCTGGGTAAAAAAAATTCAGTCTTCACACGAAAAAAACAGTGCCTTTTCTCACGATTTTAATAACCCTTTTTACAATGAAACAATATTTAAGGATATTTGCTTGGATAGTGTATTCGTTACCTATTCACTACTACTTTTTATTTGCGTTTATTTACGCTTTTAGGCATTTTTTACCTTGTTTGTAAGGAGGTGGCTCAACACCTGGTCTTGTCGACTGTTTAACGGCAACCGTTTGTTTACATAAGGCTAATTGATAGCCCAATGACAAATGCCATCTTGGTCCAGAATCTTTGTCTATTGGAATTGAACTTGTGGTCATCAGATTTGAAGGCGAGAACTATAATCACTCGGCTTACCACACGCTAATAAACAGCATAGTTTACAGTCCATACTATACTAGGTACCACGAGAGTTTGCAGTTGGCGGCAGCCAATAGCAAGACTGGCATAGCGTGACGTTGCAACATCCCCCGTTCACTAATTATTGACACAAATTAAAATATATTAAACATTGTTTTGAAATCAGGTGGTATTATTAGATTTGACAACAGCGCACTGTCCTCATTGGCTCCTTTAGTGTCACGTGGTAAATATGCTCCACCCTCAACTGCAGACTCTCGTGAACAGTACTGTTGTTAAATTTAAGCTCTCCTAAGCAAAGCCCTTATTGGGGTCCATATTGATGAGGGTTTACCATACTACAGTATTGTTTTGGTATAGGTTTATATACTCAGAAAAACGCAATACATGTCTATAGAAAAATCATGGAACTTATCGTAAAAATGTGTAAGTATGATTAATAGGCATATGTTGAAAAATCTTACAAATCGGTTATAGAATATGCAGATTCAGTCTTTAAAATTAATTACTTTTGCTGAGTAATAATAATATCACGGTATAACCAGCTGAATTTCAAAAAGAAAGAAAAAGCCAAATACTAGAGGGTGATGTAACTTTTTAAAAAACAAAACCAGTTTTTGACACGACCTTTTGACGTCATGTGAATTCATCGTTGTGCAAAAAGCATAAATAAACGTTCCTTTTGTGTGACAACTGTCAGAAATTTAGAAGACTCGAGTATAAAAACAGTAATTACTCAGAAGTGGTCTCTGCAGTCATTAGCATGTCTGTCTCTTCTTTCATACGTTTCATTTACGTTTTTAATGTGAACAATATAAGTTCAAACTGCAGTGTAGTCCTATATTTGTCTCTACACACGTTTGTAAATTTCAGTATTACAATAAAGTAGTAAATTCAAGATTTAATTCAACATTTCTCATAATTTATTTAGAACAGTTGGTTAAAGAAATAAAATAATATGAAAAAATGAAAATAAATAATGAAATATTGTTTATTACGAGATGAAATTAGGATTTTGCAGAGGTTGTTAATGACTAACATTATTTTTTATATTTGTTAACTAACGTAGACTCATTTTAAGCCAAAGTCATTATTTATGTATTGTTTGAGTAGATTTGGTTGACCATGCATCTATTTTTTCCCAACATTTTCAGAATATTATCAACATGTTGGCTCATTCAATCGGTTGCAAAGTTGCTGAAGATATAAAATTGACCCTACGAGGACAGACAACGCTAATAGTTTTTTTGTAGCCGTAATCCGTAATATTTTAGTTTAATGATAATAATCAATTCGTGGACCTATACACTTTTTTCCTTAAAGTTAGTGAATAAATGAAGGGCTTAAACTCATTTAACTAAAAAAAATCATTTAATCTCAAACCAAGTGGACTACATCACGTCGGTTTTTATCTAAAATTTAATAAAATCCTTACTGTCAAGTATAAAAGCATATTTATGTCATATATTAGTTTTTTGAGTAGCTAGACTGTTGATTAAATTACTTCAAAATCAGGACAATTTACTCAGTCTTACTCAGTAAGATAAAATCAATTTATCTTAAACTGTCAACGACATTAATCTACTTTGTGAGTCGAACATTTCTGTAGACATTTTAGTCCCTTAAGTCATATACCAACTTAAATACATCGATTAACCATATCTGATTGCAATTAGAAATTTTATACTCAATAAATGTCTCTTTAATTAGTTTCGCCTTATCCGATGGGGGGTAGTACAAATTTTATATTGGCTTGCGTCTATATTCGCTCCGTGACTACGTCTTCATGCAGTAACTTCTTCGACGCTGTTACCGACACGATCATGATATCCAATTGCCATTAGAAAAATTCATCTTTACTAATTTTCACTTGACTGGACAAGCTTTTTGCCTTATCAAACAATCATGTTGCAACGATAGAAGTGTTTTGATCTCATGATCTACGTCGATGTAGTTAGTAGGCTACCCAGTGATATAGTTTGGAGGGGGGGGGGGACTGACTGGTTAGGTATCATATCATTTGGGGGGGTCCTTAATAAAATGTATGTTTTCAAAGTTTGGGGGGGCGGGCTCCCTACGACCCCTGAGTACCTCCCAGAGTTGATTTAATTATACTACGAATAGTGTATTTACGGACTACATATAATAAGTCAATGATAATAGTCTTCTGGCTAATCTAGTAAAAATTGGCCACTAAAGTGGCTTTTGAAAACCGAAAGTTCAGCGTATCCGAAGGTGTGCTCTTGAACTGTTCTCCTATGAATTTGACATTTTCTCTGTTTACCATTAAAATACATAACGTTAAATAAATATCTCAACTTTTAAGTTTACTTACAACATTTGTTGAATTTCCTTGTTCATGAATCGCAATATAAGCAAAACTCAGAAGTGTCACAAGAATTTACCCTCTGTCAGAAAAAAATGTTTGAATCATCGTTAATTAACTGTTTTACTGGAATTTAGATTTTTGCAGTTACATTGCTTTATAACCCATTTAAAAAGAAAAATTTGGTTCTGTGACAAGGGTTTTTAATTAATATAATAGTAAACGGTTGCACACTTATGTATTTGATATATCATTGTTAATAACTATAAAAATAAAAACATTGACAATTAAGTTAAAGTAAAAAGGGACAAAAAACAGCAAAAGACATGCCAAACATGTTTAATTTACAGGAAATACATGAATAATGTTTAATAAACCCTTGGTCATTCATATTTACCATTCGTAAATTTGATCTTGCGTCTTTATGACGAAAATACACGTTTATGTGGAAAGAATGTTGTAGCACAGCTTGAGTTAAAAATTACTTTTTGAAATAACAGGTTAAATTTATTACATAATTTTTTATAAAACCAAAAAATACTTTGATATCCTACTAATCCTACTAATATTATAAATGAGAAAGTTTAGATGTATGGATGTATGGATGTATGGATGTATGTTTGTGACAAGTGAACGCGAAAAATACTGGTCGGAGTGGGCTGAAATTTGGCATGATGATAGCTCACATTCCCCATTAACATATAGGCATATTCTTATTTCAAAAATCCTTTCGGGCTCCGCCCCAGTGGCTCTGGGGTTTCCCATGTTAACCTTATGAGAAATGAAATTATTGAATCTTAACAGCAGTTTCAATTAAACAAGTTGGTTCTGTTCTGTGATGTTCAATAGCATTAAAGTTACAAAAATTACTAACAGGGTGCAGCACTATTATTTCTTTTACATTTATGACAACAGCTAATTTGCAACCAAAAGGTGAGTGAGCGTAGCGAACGAACTTCAACCTGGAGGCGAGTTAGCGTAGCGAACGAGCTAACCTGAAGGCAAGTGAGCGCAGCGAACGAGCTCAAACTAAAGGTGAGTGAGCGTAGCGAACAAGCTCCAACTCAAAGGTGAGTGAGCGTAGCGAACGAGCTCCAACCTAAAGGTGAGTGAGCGTAGCGAACAAACTTTAACCAGGACGTGATTGAGCAATGCGAACGAGATAATCTTGAAAATTAAGAAGTTAAACGGGGCAAAGCCCGCGGGTTACAGCTAGTTTTATCATAAAATGAAATTTATATAACAGTAAAACTAATTAGCATAATTTAAAGAGTAAATTCACTTTATAAGATTTCTGGGCAGTGCATTTATTTCCTTATACAATGTATCTGATTCATTCAACTATAAAAAATACATATTTGATAAATAAAAATAAATATTTAGTATTATTCTTTTTTGTGTGGCAAATCCAGGATGATCTTTTAACAAAACTATGATCATTCAATTCGTATGATTACGACTTTGAAAGGTCTGACTCTAATGTGTGTTGATTTGGTAAACTGAAATTATATTTAAAAGTCAAACTTTTATCAGATTCAAAGTTATTGTTACACTTTTGAAACTCTACAAAATGAAAAACCATACACCATATCATCACGAGTTGAGAATCAATCAACTCTAAAGGAGAGAGATTCTATTAGGGAGGAGATTCTAAAGTTTTGTTTGACACCACTTTGGTAAAAATATTTGCCAAATTAGCCTTTACAGCAGACTTTTTTATAAATTTTAACTACTATTTTAAATTAATTACACACTTTTACCTCTCTAAATCTCAAAACTTATTATATACCGCTTGGTCATTGTTATCCGCCATTATTTTAAGCTGCGAGGAACCTTTAAAAATAAAAATAATGTTCTGTGTTTTAGAGTTTGGGACGACTTCAATCATAAAGTGAATGTGGGCTTTGCAGCCAGAGGGATAGTTTTTAGCCATAATCTTGTTAACTTTTTTTATTAAAAATTTAACAAAACTATCGAGCCTGCAATTGTGTACATACTTTTTTACGCCATGGGTTTCATAGATTATAAATTGTAAAATTAATTTAAAACCGTAGTTAAAATTAAAAACAGTTCGTAGAGGCTGATTTTGCAACTATGTTTAACAAGTGTCAAACTCAACTTTAGAATCTCCTCTTCAAATTGGTTCCTACCCTGTGGTTGTATAGTTTTTCATTTATAGATTTATTAATAATTTAAGGATATTACCTTGGATATTTAACTCTTTTCATAAAATAAAATTATAAATTAAATTAAATACCAAATTAGTTAATAAGTGTAACATTAATTTAGAATCCCCCTGTATTTCAACAACCAATTTACAAAAATGTTAAGATTAAGTTATAGATTGTTCCAAAAGTGAAGTAGACTTTAAAACTGTACATGTGATCATCAGTAGAAAACTTTAGGCATCTAATGCAACTACATAGTTCTGCAAATATTACGATCAAAAACATTGTGCATATTACTGTATATACAAATTTACAGTCAAAACTTCAGTGTATTTTCACCTTTAAAGTAAAACCATACAACATCATATACAGATACAGACATTAATTGAAATTAATACAAATAACTTGAGATTATGTTTTATAAAAATATAATAACGTTACGTCAAATTATTTTCCAAAAATCCATTTTAAGAAAACTATTTCAATAGTGGAACGATATTCCTGTGTATAAAAATAATTATTTACAATTTATACATTTTCCAAATTTCCAAATTCGGAAGTAATAAAACATATTCAAACTTTTATATAAGGGAGAGGATACGCGTCCGGTAACCAGGCGTGGATTAGGCGTTCGGCAATAACCTAATAACTAACCAAACTTGCCGATAGTAAAAAAAATCTAATAAAGGTTAACATTTAACTCTTTTCATAAAATAAAATTATAAATGCCTCAAATTCTAACAAAAGATTTACGGTTCAGAAGAAATGGCATTCTAAGAAAAATCTTTGACAACAAATTAGTGTCACCGGTGGGATTCGACCTAGATACCCCTTGCTCATCAGCCGAGTACTCTATCCACTACACCACGAACACCGATAGCTGTGCATCTTATCGTTGTGGTAATGGTGTTCCGGGCCCCCACAACCCGGTGACGTCACTGCCGAACGCCTCCATGTTCAGTTACCGGACGCGTATCTTCTGCGTTTATAGAAATATTCAAAATTACACATTTTCATATTAGAGTCTATTTACGTAAAATATCTTGACCACCTCACATATTTACTTCAGCACTTCACGGGGTTGGCTGTTGGGGAGACCTTTTTAGTTCGCACTTTTGCGGAAACTTCCTCACAGTTTGTCGCAGTTTGCCAAGATCGGTTTCGTTCTCCACCATAAAAGAAATCGTCGCAACGTTTCTTTTGTTGGCGTGAGAACCCATTGACACTCATTGAAGCGATATTGACGTGAGCTTGGAGCTCTTGGAGTTGATGGTGGAGTTTCTACGCCACTCAAACCTGGAGGAGTCCAGGCCACTCAACTCCCTGGCGAGTGGCTCGGTCCTCTTGACTTGGCGGACACACGGCCACCGCAATCTCATCTGGAACTCACGCTTGAATTTCTCCTGAAAAAGAGTTAAAATGCATGCAGCTTTGTTGTGGTTTTTTTTCATAAGTGGACATACAACTCCATTTCGACAGGCGCACAAATCTGTTTACGGTGGGTTCGCAAATCTGAATAGGGGCGAATAGAAATTTGGCCCTTCCCTTCAAGTCGTATATCGGTTTTAACTTTGTAATTTGGAGCAAACTTATATATGGTGTATATCTGGAGCAAATATTTGTAGGATAAAAACAGACTCTTTTTAAGAAACAATATATTTATAAGCTTCAACCCGCAAACTTGATACACTTATATGTATATTGTACATTTAAGATTTTAAAAACTGAAATTACAGGAACAAACTAAACTACAAAGAAAGTTACCTAAATAGAACTATTAAAACACTTTACAACACCTAGTTGTTAATTTACCTTTATAGTTACGAAATTTGTTAAAACTGTGATGAATAGCAAACTATAGCCTTTTTAAAATAAAATGTTTGTGTCCATAAATACATTAGTTAACTGAGAAGAAAGTTAAGTGAAACCCAATGGCTCAACTCAAATATACATTTCATCAAATAATCGAGAGCTCTATTTAAGTAACTCTATTTGTAGTTTAGTTTGTTCCTGTAATTTCAGTTTTTAAAATCTTAAATGTACAGTATATCAATTTATCTACAAAACTTTGATAAATTTGCCAAATATGTACATTAAAGGGTGTACAATACCTGCAAATAGTAATCCTTTGTTGCTGTTTTGGCAACTAGTTTTGGTTCCGTGCAACTATAATCAGGCCTCAAGGTATCAAGGCAATCACTTCATTCTAAGGCCGTCAACAGAGTTCAATAAAAAATATAATAAATACATGTATATTTATTCTATGTTTTCGTGTCTTGTATAATGTTTTAATTATTGAACTCTGTTTATGACTTTCGAATGAAGTGATTATCTCGACACCTTTAGTAGCCAAGACAGCAACACAGGATTACTATATGCAGGTATTAAAAAAAATGTTAAGCAATTTAACGATAACCCCCATGTCATTTTACCTTTGCACAGTTGTGCATGACAGAATATGTTAACTAGGACATAGTTCGGCCGCTTAGAAAACGACCTGCGCGCTAATGCTAAACCAATGCTGTATGAGGTCGTTTTCTAAGCGGCCGACCTAGTAAGTAACTTACATTGTAAATGCCGTATATGAAGGGGTTGTAACAGCTGTTGCTCATGGCCAACCAGTCGATGGAGAACCAAATGATGTTTATGTATCGGAACCTAAACAACACAACACAGATTACCATACTCATGCATGTGTTGTCGGACAAAGGTGTCAGCAGTTTTAGTCGATACTAACATGTTGCAGTTTGAATATTAAGCGTTAATAACTATTGATTTGTTTATGATTGTTCTAAACAGTTATTTAAAAATCATTAATTTTATTTTTATTGATTCTATAGCCTCAAATAATTGTTATCTAAAATCGATGAATTATTGATAAAGGTTTATCTAACTACCAAAATTCGTCATCACTCAAAATCTGATCTCATTATTATAATAATGTGTGAAAGTACAATCTCAATTTCAAACTCAATAAATATAGCCTTTTATTATACGATAGAAAATATTCCTGTTATTGTTAGTGGAACTTTTGCTGGGAAGAACGTTTTGCTAATAGATCAATGACCTTAGTTAAAATTGTAAAGTTTTTGTTGAGAACACCTTTTTACGGGCTGTGTCTTTCAGTTGAAGTTCATCTAAGTAGTTATAACTTCTACACAGGATAGATTATCCTGTCATAGTCTTCTGCTGTTAAATTATGTTTCCAACGATATTTAGTTAATTTATACTGAAATATACATATGAAATAATCTACCAAGACAATATTAACTATTGTCACAGTATAACAAAGTAAATGGGCAAAAATTTTTGCGCAAAGCTAATCTGATAGTAATAACGTTCCTGAACCAATTGCCTGTTATTCACTAGTATTAAATACATTTATTATATAGTTAGACTCACCTGTTGATTTCAGGATAGATGTATTGCAGGACGGTGTACGTTTGTAGAGGTAGCCAGCAGAGAGCGAACAACGCAACAACAATTGCGAGCATTTTGATCACCTGAAGCAACATCAGATCACAACATCAGCAACATCGTATCACTAAGTAAATCATATGCTTAATACTTAGAGTGCACATAGTGCAATAGTTAAACTTGGTAGATTAATGTGTTAGGGAAAGCGACAATAAACTAAACAGGTATTAACGTCCTCATTGTTTTAAATATATTTTCTGATAAATATGTTTCGTTATCGTGAAAAGCAAGTTTATGCCTAAATATATTTGTAGATAGTACTGCCATCAACTGATTTTATAAAAAGTAAAGTAACCATAAGTTAGTAATTATCCAAATAAAAAAATAAACAATGACATAAACTAAAAGAGAAATTCATCATGGTCAAGAAACGTTTTGTCTATTTTAATACAATCTAATAATAATTCTGATATTCTTGGATTAATTTATACTTTTGATAATGTAAGTAGCCCTTGTTTTATACGCCTGGAATCTAAAATTAGACTCTCAAGTAGTTGAGAACCACATGTATACCAATAATTTACATAACAACCGTATAACAGAATACTATGTGCCTGACTGAAACTACAACACACACTTAAACGTCAGCTTTCCCACGAGTTTTCTAGAAGCAATCCTCCATTCCGGAATTAAATCTCTCTCAGTGATGACCAAAACTTATACTTATGACGACGACATTGAATAAAATATAGTATAAAATAGTATAAATATTTACATGAAAAATATGCTTTAAATATAAGCTCAATCTATTGCCACCAAGTATTAAAAACACATTAAAAGCAGTAATAAAAGCTTTACAAACCTAGAAGAATCCACTTTACATTAAGAAGGTTATTTCTTACCTTTTTTATTACCTTTTTCTTATTTCGCATAATGTTTGCGTCCCGCTCAGTCTGGGCGTTTCCCGGAGCCGTCGCCCCCCACAGAGCAAGACCCATGCGTGCGTAGACCCAGGTTATGATGATGAGTGGGACCAGGTACTGCAGGAGAACCAGGATGGCTTGGTAAACCAGCATAACCTCCTGTAAAATAGTCAAGTTACGCTTTTAAGTAAATTCAATGTTTAGACTCAGAAAGATCATTAGCCAGGATGGTTGTTAGACCCATCTTCTCGTGCTAGGAAGCCATACTCTATCCCAGAACTGTTTTACACATTAATTTAGGCTAAGCCTAGGGTCTTTATGGTATTATCACCAGACAAATCTTAAGTCATTCGTGATTTTCTGGATTTGAACCCCGGGCCTTCGGGTATAAAAACTATGCAAGAACCCATGATCTAACACTGAACTAGACGGCTCACCCTAGCCTGTCTGCAGCCATTCATTTGTTTTTGTATGCATTTTAGTAAATGGCAGTTTGCCTATACGAGGACGGTTATGACCTGCAAAAATATCTCATTAACATTTTTAAATAGGTACACTTCTAGCCTAAGACCGGCTCTAAATCAGTTAGACATCATAGAGAAGTAAGGTAGTAATGAACCGGGACTCATTCCCTCTGTTATGTTTTTTTACACAACAAAAGTACCTCGGCGACATTGCGGTGGTAGCAGAAGTAGTAAGGATCTCCCTCTTTCTCCATCCTCGTCAGACCCATGGCGAAGAGATAAGGAGCTCCCATCAAACCACTGATTACCCAAATAAGCGATATCACCAGCTTGAACTGAACCTTGGACACCCGAGCACTGAATAAAAAAAAAACAATGACAAACATTTCCTTTTTCAGAGTAACTTAAAAAAATAGGAACAGTTTTCGGTTTCCATTAGGCTTATAGGCCTACATCATTTAGTTGAATATTATTTCATTCCCTTAACAGATGATTTAAACATTTACAGACACATTAATGATATTTTGCTGGGACAATATATACGAGCAATAGGTATATTTTGGTAATGTTAGGTTTCTATTTTTTTCCAAAGCTAAAAAAACTGATTAATATAAATTACACTAGACGAAAGTATTATTTAATTGATTACAAATTACAAAACTAACTTTACAAGTCGCTGTTTAACAGTAGCAAGAAAAGCTCACAAAGAAGTTTGTTCCAGATAGATTTTAATTAAAACCTAAGCCTTTTTAATTAAAGGCATCAAGTTTGTTGTTAATTACCGAGCATTTTGAATAATACTAACGTGAAGGGAGTGAGAATGGCTCTGTGACGGTCTACGGCGATGGCTGCTAGTGTAAACACACTGACGGACACACTGATCACTTTGACGAAGGGACAGAAACTGCACATGAACTCAGGGAATATCCATCGCTGCAGCAGAGCTGACTGAAACTGAAATACATACGAAAACAATCAGTCAAGATTTAATAAAATTGTTAACTAACCTACAGCTTTACCGTGAAGCAGTGCTTCTTTCTATAAAAACCTTTTACAGAGATAACCGAAATTTATACTTAAAGTGACAATATTAAGTTCTATATAAAATTTGACAGAAACATATGTTTGTAAACAGAAACTCATATTATGATCTACTAGTATGTAAAAAGACCTAATGGATAGTATTTTACAAGGGCACAAGGGATGGTGGTTGAAGTGATTGCTGATCAGAGGTCAGTCTCAACCCCGCCATGACTGCTTTCTCTATACTAGCATTCGATCAATTACTTATAAGACATTGAGATGCCATACACACTAACATCAACGACTTGAGAAAGCACATTATAAGTTGAGAGAAACAAAACCAGGGAAGACAATCAATGACATTCCAGTCTACTGGATCGTGTAAATATATGAAACTGGAGGTGAAACACAGTAAATAAAACGTAAAGCTAAAACATTACGTGAAACATCGTAGCTTTAAATTGTATAAAATTAGATTGACGATTATAAAAGTACAATTCTTTAAAGCTTAAAGATAAAAACACTCTCATGCTTTTTAGAGCTAAACAGATAAATTTACCTGAAAAGGTATGGCAAACAGACCAATGACGATGTCAGCTAGTGCTAGATTTGCGATGTAGTAGTTAGTGACACTTCTCATACGCCGACTAGTGGCGATGACCCAGATCACCAGGCCATTACCGAAGACAGCAGCTACTGATATACTACCGTAGCAGATACTCAGTAGTATCACCTCGTGTGGTAGAACCTACAACATTACTGACATTGTAGTTGGTGACACTTCTCATACGACGACTAGTGGCGATGACCCAGATCACCAGGCCATTACCAAAGACAGCGGCTACTGATATACTACCGTAGCAGAGACTTAGTTGTATCACCTCGTGTGGTAGAACCTACAACATTACTGACATAGTAGTTTGTGACACTTCTCATACGACGACTAGTGGCGATGACCCAGATCACCAGGCCATTACCGAAGACAGCAGCTACTGATATACTACCGTAGCAGATACTCAGTAGTATCACCTCGTGTGGTAGAACCTACAACATTACTGACATAGTAGTTTGTGACACTTCTCATACGACGACTATTGGCGATGACCCAGATCACCAGGCCATTACCGAAGACAGCAGCTACTGATATACTACCGTAGCAGATACTCAGTAGTATCACCTCGTGTGGTAGAACCTACAACATTACTGACATTGTAGTTGGTGACACTTCTCATACGACGACTAGTGGCGATGACCCAGATCACCAGGCCATTACCAAAGACAGCGGCTACTGATATACTACCGTAGCAGAGACTTAGTAGTATCACCTCGTGTGGTAGAGCCTACAACGTTACTGACATAGTAGTTGGTGACACTTCTCATACGACGACTAGTGGCGATGACCCAGATCACCAGGCCATTACCAAAGACAGCGGCTACTGATATACTACCGTAGCAGAGACTTAGTAGTATCACCTCGTGTGGTAGAACCTACAACATTACTGACATAGTAGTTTGTGACACTTCTCATACGACGACTAGTGGCGATGACCCAGATCACCAGGCCATTACCAAAGACAGCGGCTACTGATATACTACCGTAGCAGAGACTTAGTGGTATCACCTCGTGTGGTAGAGCCTACAACGTTACTGACATAGTAGTTGGTGACACTTCTCATACGACGACTAGTGGCGATGACCCAGATCACCAGGCCATTACCAAAGACAGCGGCTACTGATATACTACCGTAGCAGAGACTTAGTAGTATTACCTCGTGTGGTAGAACCTACAACATTACTGACATTGTAGTTGGTGACACTTCTCATACGACGACTAGTGGCGATGACCCAGATCACCAGGCCATTACCAAAGACAGCGGCTACTGATATACTACCGTAGCAGAGACTTAGTAGTATTACCTCGTGTGGTAGAACCTACAACATTACTGACATAGTAGTTTGTAACACTTCTCATACGACGACTAGTGGCGATGACCCAGATCACCAGGCCATTACCAAAGACAGCGGCTACTGATATACTACCGTAGCAGAGACTTAGTAGTATCACCTCGTGTGGTAGAACCTACAACATTACTGACATTGTAGTTGGTGACACTTCTCATACGACGACTAGTGGCGATGACCCAGATCACCAGGCCATTACCAAAGACAGCGGCTACTGATATACTACCGTAGCAGAGACTTAGTAGTATCACCTCGTGTGGTAGAACCTACAACATTACTGACATAGTAGTTGGTGACACTTCTCATACGACGACTAGTGGCGATGACCCAGATCACCAGGCCATTACCAAAGACAGCGGCTACTGATATACTACCGTAGCAGAGACTTAGTAGTATCACCTCGTGTGGTAGAACCTACAACATTACTGACATAGTAGTTTGTGACACTTCTCATACGACGACTAGTGGCGATGACCCAGATCACCAGGCCATTACCGAAGACAGCGGCTACTGATATACTACCGTAGCAGAGACTCAGTAGTATCACCTCGTGTGGTAGAACCTACAACATTACTGACATAGTAGTTGGTGACACTTCTCATAAGACGACTAGTGGCGATGACCCAGATCACCAGGCCATTACCAAAGACAGCGGCTACTGATATACTACCGTAGCAGAGACTTAGTAGTATCACCTCGTGTGGTAGAACCTACAACATTACTGACATTGTAGTTGGTGACACTTCTCATACGACGACTAGTGGCGATGACCCAGATCACCAGGCCATTACCAAAGACAGCGGCTACTGATATACTACCGTAGCAGAGACTTAGTAGTATCACCTCGTGTGGTAGAACCTACAACATTACTGACATTGTAGTTGGTGACACTTCTCATACGACGACTAGTGGCGATGACCCAGATCACCAGGCCATTACCAAAGACAGCGGCTACTGATATACTACCGTAGCAGAGACTTAGTAGTATCACCTCGTGTGGTAGAACCTACAACATTACTGACATTGTAGTTGGTGACACTTCTCATACGACGACTAGTGGCGATGACCCAGATCACCAGGCCATTACCAAAGACAGCGGCTACTGATATACTACCGTAGCAGAGACTTAGTGGTATCACCTCGTGTGGTAGAGCCTACAACGTTACTGACATAGTAGTTGGTGACACTTCTCATACGACGACTAGTGGCGATGACCCAGATCACCAGGCCATTACCAAAGACAGCGGCTACTGATATACTACCGTAGCAGAGACTTAGTAGTATCACCTCGTGTGGTAGAACCTACAACATTACTGACATTGTAGTTTGTGACACTTCTCATACGACGACTAGTGGCGATGACCCAGATCACCAGGCCATTACCAAAGACAGCGGCTACTGATATACTACCGTAGCAGAGACTTAGTAGTATCACCTCGTGTGGTAGAACCTACAACATTACTGACATTGTAGTTGGTGACACTTCTCATACGACGACTAGTGGCGATGACCCAGATCACCAGGCCATTACCAAAGACAGCGGCTACTGATATACTACCGTAGCAGAGACTTAGTGGTATCACCTCGTGTGGTAGAGCCTACAACGTTACTGACATAGTAGTTGGTGACACTTCTCATACGACGACTAGTGGCGATGACCCAGATCACCAGGCCATTACCAAGGACAGCGGCTACTGATATACTACCGTAGCAGAGACTTAGTAGTATCACCTCGTGTGGTAGAACCTACAACATTACTGACATAGTAGTTTGTGACACTTCTCATACGACGACTAGTGGCGATGACCCAGATCACCAGGCCATTACCAAAGACAGCGGCTACTGATATACTACCGTAGCAGAGACTTAGTAGTATCACCTCGTGTGGTAGAACCTACAACATTACTGACATAGTAGTTTGTGACACTTCTCATACGACGACTAGTGGCGATGACCCAGATCACCAGGCCATTACCAAAGACAGCGGCTACTGATATACTACCGTAGCAGAGACTTAGTAGTATCACCTCGTGTGGTAGAACCTACAACATTACTGACATAGTAGTTTGTGACACTTCTCATACGACGACTAGTGGCGATGACCCAGATCACCAGGCCATTACCGAAGACAGCGGCTACTGATATACTACCGTAGCAGAGACTCAGTAGTATCACCTCGTGTGGTAGAACCTACAACATTACTGACATAGTAGTTGGTGACACTTCTCATAAGACGACTAGTGGCGATGACCCAGATCACCAGGCCATTACCAAGGACAGCGGCTACTGATATACTACCGTAGCAGAGACTTAGTGGTATCACCTCGTGTGGTAGAACCTACAACGTTACTGACATAGTAGTTGGTGACACTTCTCATACGACGACTAGTGGCGATGACCCAGATCACCAGGCCATTACCAAAGACAGCGGCTACTGATATACTACCGTAGCAGAGACTTAGTAGTATTACCTCGTGTGGTAGAACCTACAACATTACTGACATTGTAGTTGGTGACACTTCTCATACGACGACTAGTGGCGATGACCCAGATCACCAGCCCATTACCGAAGACAGCGGCTACTGATATACTACCGTAGCAGAGACTTAGTAGTATCACCTCGTGTGGTAGAACCTACAACATTACTGACATAGTAGTGGGTACATGAGCTATCCTAATAATTTTAATTATTATTATAAAAATCCTATATTTCCTTAGTATATAGTTCATAGTTTTAATTTGTTGTCTGTAGGTTTTTAATTGACACTTTAAATCTAAATGCAAAACACAAATCCCTCTGGTATTGTGAACGTTTTTCTTGAAGCGCTTTGTACTCTTTTACTGAATATCAAAGCAATTTCGCCACCAGCAGGAACGATAGGCAGAACTCACAAAGACCTTTACATATAGGTGATTTATTGTCCACTATACAACTATTTCATGTCCTGTTTTCAATCTCCATTTACTGAAACTTGTAGGTATATTGTATTCAAATGTATTAAATGCAATATTGTATTTTTGAGTCTGTTTTAGGAAATTAGAAAGCTTATTAAGTTATTTGTTCTTCATTTAGTGACTGTATTATTTTTAAATGTTTTGCGTTATCTATTAATTTCTTCCAAACAAAAAATATTTGAAAAAATATAACATATATACATCAAACTAATTATTTGAAGCGAAAAAAGTAATTGATAGATTTTTATATTAATAACTGCACATAAAGACAACCCATACAGTTACAGAAGGCGTTGCAAATTTTAAATGTATGGTTGTTTTTTGTTTTGCATAGAGGTATCCACTTGGTTTTACTATTTTAAAAATGTGAAACATATTTAAGGAATGTATTATATAACCGAATACATGTTTGATGCCTTTTGATAGCTCTTTATGAAACAGCTAAGTCACCGCAACTATGATAAAGACATTCAAAACTGTACTTCTTGCAAGTATACAACGTACTTAAAAAAACTCGATTTATATAATTATTTTAAATGTAAATACGATTTCTGCTGCCATTCTCTGCTTCTATATAGTTTTTGTAAAAAATATTTTGTGTTTCATAAAAACCACTAAAACAGTTTGATGATTTTATCCGTGATGAAGCTTTTAATTTAATATTTGATAGAATCCATGATAATATTTTTGTATCATTACTATGTTCAGAAGTCACTCTTTGTGACAAGTATTTCGACCGTAGTTGCGGTTAGAAAATGCAGATTGATAAAAGACATATTATTGCCAGGAAGGTTCGGTTAAAAGAAACCGAAAAAAATACGGAACACATAGACAATTGATAGCATAATATTACCTCATAAATAGGTTCGTCTATGAGGGGAATGACATTTTCATATCCAGTCTCAGAAGTAAAAGAGTGGTAATTTCCCTCTGTAAGGTTTTGCGTTGGACTTTGGTCAGTCCAGTTGACCCAGTTTGTTTGATTTGTCAGGTCCATTCTCCAGTTCAAAATGTCACCTGAAAAGAAAAAAAAATAGTTTAAGATCAAGATTCAATGTTCAACCAATTTAATATATCATTATTTGTTAACCAACATGAAGTAGATTCAGCAAGAAACCAAAACAAGCAGTTCCTCTTTAGCACTCATACATCTATTGGTTTTTGTATTATTAAGCATAGCATTATTAATAAGTTAGGTCTTAGTTTCTCTTTATTACCTGATTACATCATAGATAACCATAAAATTCAGGAAAACCTGTCGATTAAGACAAATAGTTTAAATGATTGCCGTCTTGTAAAAGAAAGCAAGTATTTTATCATGCTGGGATTATGAATATAAATAATTATACATGTAATTAATAAAGTGGAGTATCCTAGTTATTGAAATTTTGAAGAGCCCCTTCATATATGCATTTCCTTACAATAGTTGAGAGCTTCTCGCGATGTTTGAAACTGCGAACTGTTTTTACTTTCTTCCCCTATACATATATATGGAGAAAGTATTGTTTTCGTTAACATTTTCTAGTTTGAGTTTTGAGTAGATATATCCATTTTGGGTACCCCTGAACCCAAAAAAGTGGTTTTCGAAGTGATGTCTGTGTCTGTGTGGCTGGATGTGTACAGAGCTACATACCACACCTGTAGTTCGATTTTGATGAAATTTGGTATGTAGGTACTTATCCATGGTATATCCAGGCGTTTTTTTTCATTTTTTTTTTAATTTTGATTTTTAATAGGGATTCTTCCATAAAAACTCATAAAATTAAAGTCGGATATTTTTTAGAAAAGCTGGGTTTTATCAAAATTTATACGTTATGGTCCTTATAATTCTAAAAAAAATAGTACAACACCCCATTGCTGTAACAATTACGGTTTAAAAATTATTGCAACTTTTGTGATTTTGAACTATAAAATATCATATTTACTCTCATCGTTTACTCTGACGAGTTTATAGGAGAAGGTATGTGGCAGAATGTTGATAATGTTTATTTACTACATTCATTTGTGTACATAGTAAGAATATATATTACATTTAATCGTACAAACCCACTATGCACACACTGAAAAAAGTTAGCAGTTTTAAATATAGCAAGAAGCTCCATTAAAAACATATTAACGGATTGCCACATTTTGCTGAACAAAACTATTGCGATGTGATCATTGTTCAGCCCAAAAAAAAATACTGGTACTGATAAAGATAACCCAAGACGAAATTTGAAAACGTTTTCCTAAAACAAATATAATCTGGATTTATTTTTGAACCGGCAATACTTGACTGTTTGACTGCTCAGTATCAGGGCAATAAAATCCTACTTTGGACAGTCTTTAATTAGAAGGAAGCAGTGAAGCTAAAAGCAATTATATTGAGCTTACATAGCCACAGGGTTCATTAGGGCTTTCATTCCTCTTCGCTGAGCATCTTGAGTCAATAAACTATGTTATGCATGCTCATTATTAGCTGATTTCAATCAACTTATAAAATTAGCTTTACTAATCTTTTATTATATCATTCATATTACTTTTACACCAGCGACATTTTAATATTTTCTAGTGATATAGCAGTAGTATTGACCCTGTTTTGAGTATAGGCACAATTACTCTTTAGTATATTGGATTAACTATTTTTTTGACATTTTCACTAGGTTTAATGTATTTTTAATGTTTTTAGTTCATTGACTTAATGTGGTGTTTTAATTCAAGGGAATTAATTGAGGTTTGATTTTGATAGCACCAATCATAACTGTATTTAAAACATTAACATTGATATATTACTATCAGCAAAATAAAGATTATTACTAAATCTTTCCAGTAATACGATTCGGTAAAAATAAAATCTAATCCACGAATTATGCTCTTCTAAGTAAGTATTGTTCATGTTAACAAATTACTCAACAGTTATACGTAAAACGGATTTTGTAATTCACAGCTATCGTCACAAACAGCTGTTCGCAGTTGGTTGATAGAAATAACAAGTGATTTGCTACTTGACACGATATAAACTAATCTGTCAAGGCCAAACATCGCTTCAACAGTAAGGTAACCATTCACTGCAAACCGTCATACGTTGTCCTACATTCTAAAATGTGTTTCGTTGTAATTTGAAAAGAAAACTATTCGCTCACACAAAAATCGTAAAAAAACTAATCTCCTAAATTTACCTTAAACACATTATACGCTTTGGGGGAAAATACAAAAAAATACTCGTAAAATAAAACTGTCAAAAGACTTGAACGTTTTTAGAGCTGTTTTGGATAATAGTATTGGTAGTCAATGTGTTATTGACTAATCATAAGTATATAAGACACACAACTACTAAACTGTCGATGTGTTCGTCACAATTTACTAAAAGAATAAAACACTTTTGAAAAATAAAGATATTTATGTCTACTGTAATCACAGGTGTCTATGTTTATTGAGTGTAAAACTCTAAATAATTATTTTAAAGTAGAATGAGACATTTGTGCGCAAATCCGAAGTTGTTAGACATACTTAAATGTAGGCTGAAGCTGTTGATAAATCCACTAGTGCACAAATTGAAAACAGGTGAGATATAAAATGTCATTAGCGCCGAGCAAAGTTAAATTGGAATACACCTCAGAACTGTATTGGAATTTTAAACTAAGCCATGTCACTTGGTTTACCTTCCTAGAATAGGAGTAAAGTCGTAGTAGTTTAATTGGTTCTCGTCAATTTAATATGTAAGAGCAGATTGTTTAAAAATAAAAAAGTTTATCCTGCATGAAACAAATATACTTGTTCGTTACGAACTGTACACTTAAATTAAGTTAAACTTAATATACATATATTCTTAATCCAAAAATCAATTGTACGGGGATTACATAAAAAAAATTAAAATTAAAAAAATTGTCAAAAGAAAAGTATGTTTCCTGATGCGTTTGAGTTTAAAAGTCGTCGTTTATTTTATGGAAACATTTTAATCTCATAATAGAAAGAAACTTAAAATTACTAACGCATTTTACAAACATCCTCTAGTTGAAGGCTAAAATACTGTTTTTCCATTTGTTTAATATATTTGCTAAGATGTGAGTCCATAAGTATGCAGATAAATGCTAAATCCTGCTGTTTAATATCTTTTTATTGTCCTAAGAAAACAACTGTATATTGATCGAACAATAATCTACAGCCTTTATTATTAAGCGTTATGGCTATGAATTAGTTTTAATACATTTAGACAATGGGGGTTACCATTTGACTAAAAAAAAAACTGTAAAAATCTGTGCTTACTCTTTTGTGACATTGTAATACAAAAAATCTATGAAAAAAACAAAGTCATTAAATGACGCCTATTCGAAATAGGTATACAACAAGGTTCAGAATATAAAAGCTGCAACAATTATTCCCTAAATCCTAAACACTCGTAAGTATAAACCAAATCCGCTGAACTTGTCATATTGTGGATTTAGAGTTTAATTTCCTGGATGAAGCAAATCCAAAGCCTTTTTCCTAGAATAACTTCCTGATTTTTAATATTCTGCCACTTTTCAGGTCTCCGTGGTTCTTGTGGAATTATTTGCTTTGAAATTTAATGAACTAATATGAACAGTAATACAATTTTAACGATTTTTTTAGTTAAAAAGTTACTAGCATCATCTGTAACGGGTCTAATAAATAATTAAATAAATAATTAATCCAACATAAACAAAAGGTTAGTTATCAGAACAGTAATTAAATAAATTGCCAACATTAAATTCAATAACGGACGTTTCAGTTAGGTAACATGGTGGATAAATTAGGGTCAAATGGTTTTAAAAAGGATTGATTGTAATATATTCCAAGATGGCGAGATTGAGAGCCGTGTTTGTTGTTGAGGAAGACGCAACTCGGTATTCTGCGCAGCCAGTTGGAGTTGGTGGAGAACTACTGCAACGCTTTTAGGCTCTGAAACGGAAATTTTCCGTTTTCATGGAGTTGGCAGTTCTCGGGTTGAGTAACCGACACGCACACTCGAGGACGGGGCAGGCGCAGGCTTTATTTCTTCACCGGTCGTTTTGTAGTAAACTCGTTAATCGTAGTGGTTAAGACATATTCGCAAATTACCGAAGGGGTAACAACCCCACGCTTAAATAAAATAAATGTTTTATCTTCTGATAATTCTTGTTACTTATTAACATGAAATAAGCTCCACCAAACCACACGGATAACCTTAGATTAAGAGGAGTGCTCTACTAGCCTATAAGCTAATTAAATGTTTAACTGGTTTGACTGACTATTGTGTTTATTCATAACAGTAGTCAATTAATTTAAAGATGAATACTTGTAAAGCGCACCGATACACATTCAACCTATTACCAAAGCAAAGTAGAAGAGACGAGAAAATAAATATATTTATAATTTAGTAATGTCAATTATGCATGATTATAGTTCTTTATTAGTTGGTTATGATGTTATGTAAATATGTTTGTTGTTTGTGTCTATTCTGTTTAAAATGCAATACTTTCAATCAGGTTTGTACCTCAAACACTCTAAACTAAGGCAAAGTAGGACAAGTAAATAACTTGGCTAAGACAAAGTGTCTTCGTCGAGAGTTTGGTATGTAAATCACAGTTATTTAATTAAACAATACAACTTTTATATACTGTCAAACTTACTTATTATGAGATATCCCAGTTTAAATAAGGATTTATATTGAGAAACCTTTAGACTTAGTTCCAAGTTGATAAGTTTAGGGATTATAAAGTCAGTACACGTATAACATGTACAAAATATTGTTGTTGCTACCTTTGTTAATTACAACCTAATCGCTTAACTGAGTTTTCATTAATTGATGTTCTCAAAATTAGATGCCAATCAGTCGATGAACAATTTGATACCAAAACTCAACATTAAACACTTCTGTAAATCAGAGCCATATATTATAGTTATGTTTCACTATACTGTATCTTAATATGGCATAACATGAATGATATGTTTTGTTATAATACATGTTTACAGACACATTATGTATAGCTAAGCAATTTTAAGTCTAATTCTGACCCATAAATATTGCGCCTTAATGA